GCATTGTGGCTCAAAGAACAGATACCGGTATTAGGAAACCGATTGTTAGCGAAACACTCAGAAAAAAGATGGACATATTATACATTCTCAATCCAGGAGATTGGATCGATGGGCAGAACACTCCAGGGATCAGTTCAACTGGCCTTCAGTCACACTTCGGTTTCCCGCGATCTCCAGTCAACCTGAATGGCAAGTTAATATAGGTCTCCCGTCTCTTTACGAAGTTGAAAAAGCTATAAGAAATCTGAAGCGAGGGAGAGCAGCAGACCCTGACAGATTTACTCCTGAGATTTTTAAGGATGATGGTCCAGTATAAGCAGTGAGATTAACTGAGGTCTTAGGTAGAATATGGAAACTGGACGTAATCCCATCTGACTGTTCTCAATCACTGATTGTGCCAGTTTTTAAGAAAAGACAATAGTCCTCTTGTGACAATCACAGAGGAATCAGTTTCACTAATATAGTGTCTAAAATATTAGCTTCAATAATACTTCGACGCCTAACCAAAGCTCGTGAAGAACAGACTAGAGAAATCCAGGCTGGTTTTCGACCTGGGCGTGACTGTATAGACCAGATATTCACACTACGTCAGGTTCTAGAACACAGACACACTTTCAGACGCCCCACAATCGTAGTATTTCTTGACCTTAAGGCGGCATTCGACTCTGTTGATCGTGAGGTTCTATGGCAGTGTTTGTCACTGAAAGGAGTACCAAACAAGTACATTAACCTTATACATGCTCTCTACTTGAACACAACTGGTCGAGTGAAAGCTTATGGCAAACTGTCATCAGAATTGATTACCTCAAGTGGTGTTCGTCAGGGCTGTCCACTCCCTCCATTCTTGTTTGACTCTGTTGTTTACGTGCTTTTAGAGATAACACTCTCCTCATCTAAATTTACAGGGGTTGAACGTCTACCGGGAAGGTTCGCTTTTTGACCTAGAATATGTCGATGACATAGTGTTATTTGGTGAAAACGCTGACAAAATGCAGAGTCTTCTGACTACTCCAGACAACAATGCAAGCATGTTCGGCATTCGATTCTCCCCCTCGAAATGCAAAATGTTACTTCAGGATTGGGTTGCATTGACACCCGAACTAATGATAGGGAGTGAAGTAATTGAGCGTGTCGACCGCTTCACTTATCTTGGAAGTCTCATAAGCCCTTGTGGTCTGGTGTGTGACGAAATCTCAGCACGGATACAGGAGGCTCGACTAGCTCTTACCAACTTGCGTCATTATGGCGCAGGCGAGATATCCGTCTATCAACCAAAGGATGTGTATACTGCGCAGCAGTTCGTTCCGTCCTACTTTATGGCAGTGAAACATGGCCGGTAAGATTAGAGGATATCCGTAGGTTACTAGTATTTGATCATAGATGTCTTCGAAATATTGCTCGTATATTCTGGGACCATCGAGTAAGTAATGCAGTTGTTAGGAAACGGGTACTAGGTAAGGATGGCGAATCAATTGATGACGTAGTGAAACTTCATCAGTTGAGATGGCTGGGACACGTGTTACGTATGCCCAACGATCGACTGCCCCGACGTGCGATGTTCAGTGGTATAGGAGTAGGTTGGAAGAAAGCTAGAGGCGGCCAGACCAAAACATGGTACAAGTCCATGAAGTCACTGACAAGTGAACTGAGCCATGTCGGTAGGTGTAGCCTACCTGGTTGGGGACCGCGAGATGATAGCAACCGATGGTTAGAGACCCTGAATGACATGGCTCGAAATCGTTTGCAATGGCGCAGGTGTATCGACTCTTTGTGTTCTCCCGAATTCTAATCTGAATCCTCCTTGTCTCTTTTTTCTCTTTCCAAATTTATATTACTGGATTATACTCTTTAAATGACATCTTCAAACCCTAATCTTCCCGATTACTGCTTATACTCTTACTACCTCTACCACTACGGGATTTGAATCGACAATCGTATCTCTGTGCTAATGTTGTATGGCAACTCGAACTGATGTACATACGTACGTAGTTCTACGTTGTAAATGACTGACTGTCTTCTACTCTTAATAGCCATGTTTCACTGCCGTAAATTAAAACAGAACGGACTGCTGCGCAGTATACTCGTCCTTTTATTGATAGACGGATATCTCGCCTTCGCCACAGGTGACGTAAGTTGGCAAAAGCCAAACGAGCTTTTCGAATCCGTGCTGAGATTTCGTCCGATACCAACCCATTAGGGCTGATCAGACTTCCAAGACAAGTGAAGTTGTCAACGCGTTCGACTACTTCACTCCCTATCCTTAGTTCAGGTGTTGACGCAGACCAGTCCTGAAGTAACAACTTGCATTTAGAGGGAGAGAAGCGCATTCCAAACATTCTGGCATTGTTGCTTAGTGCTGCTAGAAGACTCTGCATTTTGTCAGCGTCTTCACCAAACAGGACTATGTCATCTGCGTATTCTAAGTCGATAAGTGGACTTCCTGGTAGGAGATCAATTTCCGACAATTCATTCGACGAGAATGTTATTTCCATCAATAGGTCTATGATGAAGTTAAACAAAAATGGAGAAAGTGGACAGCCTTGATGGACACCACTTGAGGTTGCAAAAGCAAATGACAGTTCACCATAAGCTCTGACTCGACTAGTAGTGTTCGAGCAAAGAGCCTTCACAAGATTTATGTACTTCTGAGGTAAGCCATTCAATGACAGACACTGCCATAGAACCTCGCGGTTCACAGAGTCAGATGCTGCTCTCAAGAAAGACCACCATTATCGGATGCCGATAAGCATGCTTGTGTTCTAGAACCGATAATCATTGAGGCTAGTATTTTAGATGCTATGTTAGTCAAACTAATCCCTCTATGGTTATCACATGATTATTTTGACCACTTCTTATATGTTGCGACCAGTCAGATGGGATTACTTCCAGCTCCCAGATCTTAGCTAAAATATTAGTCAACCTAATCGCTGAAATTGGACCACTATCCTTAAAGACCTCCGGAGCCAATCCATCTGGATCAGTTGCTCTTCCTCGTTTCAGATCAACTATAGCCTTTTGAAATTCAAATAGAGTCAGGGGACCTACTTCAATGTTCCATTTACGCTGTTTGGGAATGGTGGTTAGTTGTAGAGTAGCTGAAGGCCAGATGAAGTGCTCCTTAAAAATTTCCACCCATCGTTCTAAACGTCAACTGTGAGCAGATAAGTGTCGTCTTTTTTCCGCTATAGTCTCACGTATACTTGACTTATTAGTTCCAGTTTCTTTTATTAGTCTGTAGAGCTGTTTTGTGTTACCTACAGCCGCCACCTTTTCCATCGTTTTTGCTTTCGTAACCCACCACTACTCACGATCGTTCCTTAGACTTTTACTTAACCTAGACCTGATTTGTTTTTGCTGTTCATCGTGTTCAGAGCCTGATGGAATGAGTTTACGAGAATCCACCAGTGCAATAGACTTAGAAGAAACCCCGACCGAAGCTGCTACCTTGACGCGGTGGTCGGGCTTGCCTATCGCGATGACCCAATAGACTTAGAAGAAATCCATAGGTTTTTTGTAACCCTTTAGTTTAAATCACTAACAGATGTTACTGCTGTTTCCACAACTGTTTGTATATCTTTTCAAGCAACATCTGGGTCAGCCTCGTTTTCAGAACTAACTAATTGTGACCTCAATTGTTCCTGGAACCTACTTTTGGTTTTCTCGTTACTCAATTCAATTCTAATGGGTCTTTTTAGTGTGACTTTTCTGCCTCCAGTGAAGCGTAAGCTAATGTGTGCCCGTATTGGAACATGATCAGAGTCTAAACATGTACTCCAGAACATGTGGCAGTTTTCTGTCGAGCCCCTCCAATGATGACTGATGGCAATATGGTCTATTTGAGTCCGTTATGCTGGCTGCTGGATGGGAAACACCTTACTGCAGTCATACTTCTGTACAGTCAGCAATACGACTCCGCCCTCAGACCTTGGATTTGTTGCTTTTAGTCTTGCTGCTCTTCAAATGACCTGTCTGGCATAGTAGGACCTTGAGGAACGGTTGTTCCAGCCAGTATAGCTCGACTGGTTCATTACGATAGGCAAGCTTGATCACCACGTCAAGGTAGCAACAAGCGAGTGAAGGTATACCGTAGTATATAAGTTCAACTGAGTTTTTTTCAAATGAAGTCCTAGCGGGATTTTTAGTGACAGTTTGATTGTCACGCAACAAACTTGAGATAGAATCCGGTAGGTAACACGCATTAAAACTTTACCCATACTCTTAAGTTCGAGTGAAATAAAATTCACTACATAGGATACCTTTTAGTTTACTGGTGATGGCCAAATTGACATAAATCTTATTAAGGAAGTGCAATATACTGAAGTTGTTCACAGGCTTGAAGACAGACCAAATATAACCTAACACGTAAGATATTTCGAAGATTTAGTGGTATCGATTGTTACATGTGGATTACGGAATTCCTAGATCCAACCAGTACGTACTCCGATAATCACTACTAGATCAGAACAGTGTGCGCACTTGAATGTATTGCATTAGATTTTGAATAACGCGACAGGATGTTTACGAAATAATTGTCTTATACGAACACTAAAATCCGCAAAAAATATGTTAGTCTAGCGAGTAGAATGAATTGTCGTTTACGAGCAATTTCATCTAAAAACTGTAACAATCAAATCACTACTTAGCCAAATGGACAGTATGCTTATGAAATGGTCTTTACTAATGTAAGTCATCATCGACAACATGATCTATGTTACATAAAACCTATTCCTAACCAATAAGAGTTGACAAACTGATATAACCTACTGTCCAGAACCACATACTATGACACAACCCGGTGGATGAGACTCAACGGTCTCGAACATGTTTATGATGGTTCGTAAATTTAGTAAGCCAATATTTTTGTACAAACCGAGTGTGAACAAGTTTCGCCCCTCATAGTTTATTATGACATGAGCAAAGAATAATATTTCTTTTTCGAAAATTACCAAGATAATTGTTCGTTACGAACCTTCATAAATTTGAAAAGAACACAGCTTATACGAGAAATAAAACAACTGTATTTTGAATGACCAAAAACTGCGAGACGGACAAAGAATGAGAACACAGAAGTTCTTGTTGAATGTGAAGATCGCAGCATAATAGTTAAAGATAAATGATCTCATAGCAATCGCTACTTAGACCTTTCAAAGGATAATAATAATTTAGTTATTTCTTACATAAGAGGACAACAGACTGAATCAAACAGTACAATAATCAACTTGAAAACATGAGTACATACACTAAACAAGTAGAAATCCAAAATAAGTTCATACAACCAAAACCCAGTCTTATTTTACTATGTGACTTGTATCTTCATTAATGAGAAGTATTTTTTTTAAAAACTTTCTTTTTATAAAACAATTGAAAAATAAGGAAGAAATTGAAGAAAGGGAAAAGAATACTTAAATACATATTTCTTTTATTGATTACATTTTAAAACATCTTATCTGTTCAACTCATCAAAACTGCATCTCAACATACTTGCACACATGCTATGCCCATAGAATGCTGTGCAACACACACAAGGATTCGTTGAATATCGAACAATCCATAATTTCTCCCATTTCAAATTGTCCCATTTTTTGAAACAGATGACCATGATTAATAAATCTTTCTAACAGGATACGCTCATTAATTGGCACATCGTTTTTGACTGTCAGGAAAACAAAGAGTGAATGAAGACAAATATTTAACACCAATGAAATAAACTTTAAGCGGCATGGAAACTAATTTGTATATATGACCGTTGATTTTTACGTGGATTACTGAGCTAATTTATACCACCAATCTTATACAAGAGATTGAGAGTTAATTTTGAGCAAAATAAAATGAGCTCATATTATTCTGGTCATAAAATGTTGTACTTGATCTTTTTAATTTAAAATATTGTTAGAGTAAACTGGACATTTTCTTATTTAGTCGTTTTAGAGACACATCTCTGCATCTGGAATCACATTCACAACCGCGTTCGATTAACAAACAAACCTCAATAGATGACAATATCCTAAAAGCAAAAAACCTTTTTTTCAAGTTAGCCATTAAACAGTTTTCAAAATACCTTAATTTCCAGAAACTTAAAACACATACTTGTATGCTAAGGATGCCTCAAATTATCTGTCTATTACTCTTACTAATACTTGTAATTTTAATGAACAAGTACTTCTCGTTAACATTTCGAAATCATATTTCCCCAAATTTGCTAATATCTGTTTGGCTAGTTTTCTAATTTGCTGTATTGTTCAAATCAGTCAGTCATAACATGCAGTTCAACATAGACGTATGAAGGCACAAGTTGCCATAACAGAATAACACTACGAGATGAAGCTAACAAGATAAATAGCAGACATCGAAATAATATAATTATCTCTTTTGTCTAGCATCAACATCACTATTTTCAAGTATGACAATATCATTTGCATATTCTAAATGATATGTCCTAAAGTCATATCTGTTATTATATAAACACGATTCCGACCTTTAATTCCACTCTCTTATTTGGACGTATGGGTATATTACACTTTATGTTGCCATTCCCCCGAATGCCCTGGTACGGCCGAGAGTGGGGAGAGTCCGCTCTCCCTCTCGAAATACTCTCACACGGCCACGCGTATATAGCCTCTGCCAGGGAAGTCCTACTCACTGCCTTCTCGTGGTGGGGGTGTTGTTTACGAAAATGAGAGGACGAAAAGCGAATGTCCGGCGCTTTAACCGGATTCCAAACCAATGGTGCACATGGGCTCCAGTATCCTGCGGGAACAAATGGCGTATGAGCCAATTGTTGGTCACCGGCTACCATGGGACTGCATCTCCTTACGATGCTCCACTGCCTTGTGGATCAGACCTTCAGGTCGAAGGCTCGAGGTGTGGCCCCCTAAGAAAACCACCTGCTTCGGTTTGGGCACCCGGACAGTATCACAGCCCTCACACATATCGAATGAGATTTGTGTGGCGCATATGTATTTGGTGCCTCTTTGTACCATTATTTATGTGTTGAAATAAATAAATAAATACAACAATAAATAAAGTGGTAGCTATCTAATCTTTCATGAGTGATGAGTTCAGAAATACGGATAGATAACAATGAAAACTGATTCACTAGCCAACAAATATCTAACAGTAACCAAATTACATTAAAAAAAACGAATTGATTCATTTAAAACAAATTTCAGAAGTTGAAATTATGTTAACAAGTAGTAAATCACTACATTGAAAAATGTAGTAATTTTTTCATAATAGTCTTAGAGAAAAAATTCAAAGATAAAAGGCTAGCGTTATAAAATGGTGAGTATATCTATTTCTTTACGTAGAATAAAATGACGCCATATAGTGTTGAACATTTAAGTTACCTGTGTGTTCCAAAAACTACATCGGCGTCCGGTGCTCCTTTTGGATGATTATACTTTACCCAGCGATCACGGTTCACATTGACGGGGAATTGATGAGCCAAAACAGCATCTGGACCTCCGTAATGACCTAGTAATAAAAGTCAAATATTGAAATTTTTTATCAATAATACAGCAGAACTCATAAACTTTAACATTCAGAAACCCAACTGTTATACAAGAGAATAGGTTACAAAACGACTGTAAAAATAAATTCATGAACTCCATATTTGAATTTAGAAAGAGTCATATAAGCTATTACTGACTAACCCCACTCCATTTCTTCTTCTTTCTGAGCTTCATGCATTTCAAGTACTAGTTGTTTCATCCGAGCCCTTTCTTCTCTCTCAGCAGCTGCAGCTTGAATATAACGTGCTGCAAATTGTACTGAATCCGGGACTGCCAATGGAATTAGATGAGGTTTATTCCCACGACGTGAAACTAGTGTAAAGGGAACAGTATTCTAAAATAGTAGAAAACAGTTATGTGATCAGCAAAACCTTTAACGAGTGTAATGTTCAGCAGTAAAATCACATATGTGAGGGCGATGCGATAAGCTTAGAGAAACAAATCAAAGTACAACATATTTGATAATAAACTTTGTGCTATAATACTGATCACATTAACACATCAAAGTATGGCAAGTATTGATTATCCTAGCATCATTAATGTCAACCAGAAAGTAATCCATTTAAGGGAAGATCTCCATATTATAAGACTACAGAATTTCAAAACATGGATATTTCAATGTTAGCTTTTAAACACATACACGAGAACTTGAACCGATGGCAACTTAGATAGTAGGTATAAGACAGTTTTATTTGCTGAATAACTCGCTAAAATGGCCTCGAATACGAACTGGATTAACGGTACTGTTTCATTACTAAGATACCGAGCAAACGAACTAACATGGTACCCACACACAATTACAGTGCTCAAATGAATGGGATAATAAGTAACTAGCTGTGGATTAAGAAGGCATAAATAAATAAAATTTTTTACTGAGAATATTCCCAGATTGAAATTAAGAGTTTGTAAACATAGAAAGAAAGACGAGACATCAATTCTGAAACACATAAAAACGCTCATATATCTTTTTAGCATGATACTAATTCAGATTAAGTGAGAGTGGTATTTCATCATTAAGCATAAAGATTTGAATAGATTATGCCTTAACAATCAAGAAAGTTTTTGATTTACAGCAGTTTTATAAATGAGGACAGTAAATTTGAATGGTTATCACGGCGGAAAATGTACGTATACGTTTAAGGGCCAGTAAATTAAGTTTGTGATCGGTTTTCCAGTTTTTTTCGTACTTAGCTGTTACTAGGTCCTAATATTAGCAACCGTCTATCATTAGTCAGCAATATTTCATCGTTCCTTTTGATCGAATACACGATTTCAGTTTTGATTTGTTTTGTTACCAATTTATTCAGAATTAATTTAGAGTTTGTAACACCTGAACGAGGGATAAATGAATGGTAATTGCTAGGAATGATTTATCGACTATTATTACAAATATTCTTTCATTTGACCATTGGCTACGATTCACGATTCTCAACTTATTCCCAATCTAGTAGTTACAATCTCCTGTACTCATAACCACTATTGGTTTGTGATAATTATTATTTTCCATTTTATGGTGTAATGCGGTTTGGTCTCCTTGTATAAAAACCAAGTATGTCTGAAATGTACGATTCATAAAACAGAGGCTGATATTTGTGTTTAGGACTCAACGGGCTGGGCTAGGTCAAAATATACTATACAGAGGACTAATAAAGATTCAAAGTTGACCCATGGCTGCTAGTGCTATTTGGCACATCACTGGTTTAGCACAGGGACACGGTCACAGACGTCGGTATTCCGACTAGCCATCTTGTCACATGATATTCGACGGGCCTTAAGATATAATGCAGTAATCCTCGTTCGACGTAGTGCACTTACAGTTTAAATAGTGTTAAAAACTAACGGAAATAGAGCTCATTTCAAACAGTTTAAAATTGATCACAATAATATTACACTAAAATTATATTTCATGACCACTGCAGTCTCAGCTGATTACATTTGCTACACAATTCGGCACATTATTGACGAAATATTTTAGACATATAATTTAAGGTGATAGCACACTTATGTATAAAATGTTACGTACTTGAATATCTTCATCATTTACAGCTGACAACGTATCCGAATGATTAATTTCTAAATTATCTCCATTAGATTTTGTCGGCACAGAATGAAGGGTTGAGTTATGATGATTAATCACTTGCTGGTTAGCTTTATTTGTCGATGAACTGCCACCTTCTTTCATTGCTAAACGACTCTTTGCTGCTGCTAGTTGTAGTATTTCTGGAGCAGGAAGAACATTTACACTGAGAGTTCGAGATGATGGAGGATTTGTATCAGTACTAACATTGATAGTGCTGGTTACACTAGTAACTGTACCACTGACACTACTACTATTACTCCCTGATGTAGATGACAATAATGCTTCGGCAATCATTTTATCTAAAGCTTCACAAAATGCAGTATCCTCAGGACAATCAATAAATCGTGGCTTCAACTCATAGTTCTGATCAATCTCCTCTTCCTCTGCTTCTTTTTCTTCTGTTTTCTCCTTTAAACAGTAAAAAAAAACAATTGCCAAATCATCTAGTGATAATATTTCAAAAGTTAATGAGAGCATACATAAATTAAAGTGTGCAGAAGAAATTAATTTACAAATTTGTTGAGGATGCATTATCACCAGTTACAACTTATGAAAAGCAAACCAACATCGATTAGATTGAGATTCTGTTACAGTAAATCATTATTCAGTGGGAACACTATTAAGAAGATTTCAACAGATTTTTACGATGATCTATGTTAATGTGACAAATACTCAGTTTGAAATATTTTAACCACTGTTTTCTTACTGATATATAATCGACAAACTTGTTGCATTCTGAATTGATTACACTAGACCTACATAAAAAAGCTTCATCTACAAAGTCTGAAATTTTGAATTAAGTGGGGTAGGGAAAAGAAGAGAATACGGGTAGTTTCGTTCACGATATTTAAGTTGAAGTAGTGAAATGATTAGCGTAGTGCATGAATGTACGAAGACTGTTATTCGCATAACGGTTTTAAACACTGATTTTCAAAATATTATGCACAAACCGAGCCACTTACTAGTGTGAGATCAATATCCTCTTGAGATTGTTGGCTGTCAACGTGAGCACGACGACGACTACCATCCGATTCTATCAATTCAGTAGATTGACGGCGTTGAGATGCATGAATTTCACCTCCTTGTTCTTCATCTTCGTCATCCAAATCAGAATCTTCTTCATCCATAGAATACTCGTCACCCAGATGGATGTCTCCTAAAAAGTTAAACAAAAACTATAAACTGTTCTCGAACGGCAAATAATTGAGACGTTTATAGTTATCCATGTGTTTGATAGGGAATAATTACATGGATATTGATTTTCTGGATAGTCCTGTCTGAATTGGTTTGAGTGAATGAACTATTATGTCTATATAATTAACTTTGCTCTGAAGAAACACTACAATCATTTATCGTACATGAAGACACTCTCATAAGAACTTTGATCACGTTGGGCCCAACAACACTTTCAAATAAAGGAATATAACTAAAACTGAATACTAGTGTTTCTCAGTATACCAAGAAAGATTAAAATTCCATCGATATCCACGTCTGAATTCTGTTTAGGCTTTTAGATTTTTCTTTCTTTAGTGATTTAGTTACGTACCCGGTAATTATGGAAACCAATATCTAAACACATCCTGATCAATATTATATCAAGAGAAATTAATATTATCAGAATGTGTTTTGTGGAGATTTTTCTAGAACTTTTCACAGATTGAAATCATGAGTCAGTTGAAGCTAGACCACCATTGAAAACCTGGAAGCACTGGACGACCGTTTCGTCCTAGTATGGGACTCCTCATCAGTGCGCATCCACGACCCCGCACCACCCGGGGCTCGAACCCAAGACCTAATAGCTTCGCGCGCGAGCACCTAACCATTAGACCACTGAGCCGGCGTCCAACGGTGTTAATGTCTAACTTCAACCAATCCACGAAGTTGCGCTACCGTACACCATTGTCATCAGTGAGTTCCTATCTCACAACAGAACTGACTCATGATTTCAATCTGTGAAAATTTCTAAAAAAATCTCCACAAAACACATTCTGATAATAATAATCACCTGCTCACTAGTGACTGACTTCAGGAGACACTTCTGGAGTTCTAGTGAGAAGTCGTTACCAGTGGAGTTCAACCAGGTCTGTTGTGAGATAGGAACTCACTGAAGACAATGGTGTACGGTAGCGCAACTTCGTGGATTGGTTGAAGTTAGACATTAATACCGTTGGATGCCGGTTCAGTGGTCTAATGGTTAGGTGCTCGCGCGCGAAGCTATTAGGTCTTGGGTTCGAGCCCCGGGTGGTGCGGGGTCGTGGATGCGCACTGATGAGGAGTCCCATACTAGGACGAAACGGTCGTCCAGTGCTTCCAGGTTTTTAATGGTGGTCTAGCTTCAACTGACTCATGATTTCAATCTGTGAGAAATTAATATGATTAGAAGCTGAGACTAGTTGGATAGAAGACACCAGAGTCTAAAAATCGAACTAACACGTTAATTTAGTTTTTAACAAGACTTATAAATTAACCAATTTAGATTCCAAAGATTGAATTTTACTATAATTAACTTCTGCTATTTTTTCACTGAGTGGAAAATCTGAATTACATAACCAAATGTTTTTAATTCACTAAAACATCTCACAGTTGTTTACTTTGAATACAATTTACTTCAAAATAAGACGCCATAATTTACAATGAAAATAACCGCTAATCTTGAAAATATTATCATACAAATAACATTCTTGCTTTCTATATTAATTAGTTTGTATAACAGAAATCGGGTCATTCACACACGATGTGTTCCTGATTACTTGACTGTAAACTGTGGTCATGATAATTATGGGAATTTAAACGTACTCAATGAATCTTCATGAAAGCGGTGGAATTAATGCAATTACTTCAAATATTAGAAAACCTTACCATCTTCTTGTTCAGCCTCTTCAGCTATCGTATCCATGTGACCAGGACCAGTTGGTCGCAGTGATTTGTTCTCTGAAATAATTTTTAGGTCTTGACCACCATTTTCCACGTTTTCTGATTCACTTGTTAGTCCATATGTAGCCTTAAGGCGTGCAAGGCGTGGCAGGCATCGGGCTTCCAGATGACGAACGAGACGTTGTGCTTCTGCGAAATTTTTCGCTCGACCAACATTACCACGGAACTGTTGTAAAGTTTCAAAATATTGTTGCTCTACTGCAACAGGAAAACGCACAGGAACAAACATAGGTAGATTAGTTTGGGTGTCTGAATTAAGACCGGAGATATCAACTGATGATTCAGGATTATTCAATACCAACGAATCTTCAGAATGATTTACAGCAGGCTCTTCAACCGAAGAAGTTAGTTCGCCAGTATGGAGATCTGTCTTCGTTTCACTTACTGATTTGGCTGATAATAACTCGGCGTCGTTTTTCGACTGCACCCATATAGGAAGAGAACGCTTGAACCAGTAGTAACGCTAGAATAACAAACGTTGGTGGAAAAAATTGTACATAACACGCTAATTGTGCTGAATAATATATTTTTTAGACGATGAAAAACTGACCAGGAGATAAATAGGGTACAACCATATTTGTAAAACAAGGACAATAATCCCAAGTGAATCCTATTCAGCTACTTGCAGCATTTATTCACTTGAATCTTTGCTTAGAATCCTAACCAATAGAAGAAATTAGTCAACAATGAAGTTGCCAGTTTAATAACGCAATAGACACGAGGGGAAATCGTAGCTTTTTTGTTAAACTGTCAACTTCCGAAAAATATAACCAGTGATACAGGCACGAATATGTAATTCTCATGTCAACGATCAACAGTACCAAAAGTGTCGGTTAAACGTATAAAATAAAACTGATCAACAACAGTAAGATGGTAACTTGATTTTATTTGAAGCATCCACAACACATATATTAATGACGATATTGAGAAAGTGCATTAAAAACTTGCGAATTTCAGAAAAATGACTGAATTAACGAATACGTTTTTGCAATACAAACCTCATCTAAAAATATTGTGTTCTTATTCATTTGACAACTTCCACGTATTTCAAGTAGTCAACGAACTGAGTGGTTTCAACAATGTTCAATGCATGAAAATATTCTTATAGTATACACTTTAAAAGTAAATCTGAAAATCTGTAAACGAATGTTATATTACTTTTAATTTGAGTAGCGCGAACTTTATTCATAATTGAACTCATCATAATAAATTCATGATACGAATTTGTGTTAATTAATCAACTGAAGCTACTGGTCTTGAGAATATATTATTTTTATATAAGATGTTTAATATATCGCTTATTTATTTGTTCATCCAAATACATATGTTGGTAGAAAGAAACACCAAAACGAATATACCCCATACAAAAAGGAAATGAGATTGTGACGAGATAGAAAAAGAAAAGTGAGTATAATTAGAAAAACAGAAAGTGAAGGTAAAGATAATGAAAAAAGCCATTCAGTCAAATAAACTAAAACCAGAAAGAATTCTTTCAGTTAGTTTCTCTCACTTTTATGAGAAAATTACAATAAAACCGCCATTAGCTTCTATCCTGATGACCTCTGGAGTCATTTTGTTGATTTATCTCTAGAACATTAACCACGGGATCGCGAGTGACTGTACAGCTTTCATTCATACAACGAGATCATGTCACAGACTGACCACCTGTTCCTTCCAAGTAGTCCCAGAGTTGACAAATAATGCACGATGTGAAATTCGATGGGACAATATTTGTAGTTCATGTTCAAGCCACCGAAGCCGGTGTGTACAGATAGAGACGTTAAATGAACTATTGTCTCTGTATTTGAACACACGTTGCAGGAGTCGTGCACTACTTTCATGGTGTTATCAGTAAACTAAGATGGCTTACGAACTACTAAAACTACGTACAGTACTTCCAGGTTTACAATGGTTGTCTAACATTGATCGATTCATGATTTTAATGAGATTCAACAATCTTCACAACCCTATCCTGTTAAAAATGAATAAATTATTAATAAGGAATTTATTTGTGGAACCCCTCAATACCGACATACAAAAAGGATTTATATCTACTCAATACGTATTGATCAATTTCTTATAATAAACGCCTCAGGAAGCATACGTATTAAAAATTTCTTGTCTAGTAAATTATTTTCTTACTTTCTATAAGAATAAACAACAACATTATAATTACCTGAAAGTATATAAGGAATATGTTCAATTTTCGTCGCTTTTTACCCTGATCGAAGAAACTTCCAGATGTTTCAAGTAGCGTGCAAATTAATGTAATTCGAAACAATGAATCCGGCGGGTCGATAATACTTGGGAAATCAACTATAAAAATGAAGGGAAAACTGTTTCACGAAGAAATGTGATGTATTAGTTGAAATAAGAGCAGCAGACTCTTTCAAAACAATCATATATAACTATGCAAGTGACAATTGATATATATACATATATGTTACGTATTTTATCAGAGATCTTGGTGGGCTACCAATGAAGCAAATATGTATAGGACAGTCGTTCCTTTTGAGGGAAATGTACACTGAGAAAAGTGTTCACTTGATTACTCTACAACTGAATAATTTATTGACTAATCGTCCTTTAACTACTGACAAGAAATATTAATCATGTACACATATTTGCATTGGTAACTTACGATCCAAGCTAACACCAAATGTGAGAAGAGAGTAAAGTGTTTTGAATATCACCGGAGAATCCACCAGACAATAGTTATACAACAAACCAAGGTATTTGACCATTACAATTCGACGCTGATTTAAACTGGGAAGGTTGAGCTGAAAAGCAAATAGAAGTGAAATCATATACAGCTTTCCGAGTCTGAAATAAGGTAAACTACCATATATTCTGATGGTGAACATGTACAACAACTAAATACACATTTTAAGGTCATTAAATTGATCAGAAGTGAAAATGAACCCATAGTGATTACAACAGTTACTTAACCGAGTACAATGACATGATAGAGAAAGTTATACATGGCACTTTGTTTACTTGCTTTAAACAGTTCTTAAATCGACAAACTGACGAGCACTAAACAGACTTGTGTAATAGAAAAACACCCAAAAGAATATACAGATGACTATTTTGACAGAAAAGTGGCATAAAATAACGTAACGATTAAGACACCAGAGACAGCAATAGATAAATTACTGTCACTCAGGTCAAACGAGTAAGGAATTCGAATACTTCTATATCCAGTACACTTTAGGTGGGTAGGACGTTTTGAATACTGATCGATGTGTACCATAAATGATTCATTTAATTTACATCTTTTTGTACATAGTTGATAACGTAGAACTTGCTAACATTTACAATTGGCCACCAGTCTTTGGTAGTTCATGAGATGCATTTAAACCAGTGATAGAAAGAAAATTATTAGACCAGATTGTTCATTTTCGAAAAAAAGCCTTTGACTAACCTCCATTCCCACACGGATATCTTCGATGACATTATCAACAACAGCCATGGCAAAGTCCGGATGATAGGTAGCCAACCCAGATAACACACTGGCTAGACAATTTATATTCGTATAGCGAACATCCCACGCCCTAGTGAAAAGGGTGCACGTAAATTCGACAAGCTATTGAAAGACAAAATAGCCACAAGAATGAATCAGATGTGTGTTGAGAATATTTTTCTCAATAAATGGTACATCATTTAACAGTTTTCAGGAAAATCACATTGGAACGAGAGAAAACGCCCAAATGGAAACTCAATAACAATAAAACTCAGCTAACTTAGACCTATTAACGAAGCACTTAAAACGCCATGCCAATAATTATGGACTATTTATTTATATCTGTTGAGTGAAAATTAGTGATACGACTTGACTGGCAAAAGCAAGAGATAGTAAATGGGTGGACCACTAAGGTATAGTCATGATAACATGGAACTGTAATCAGGAAAAAATGTTGTATAGTATGAAGTCAGAAAACTATTTAGACTTAGTAACCAAGTGCGGACTCCTTAAATGATTTTCTAAGAGACTTGTCGTCAGGACTGATTTCAGTAACCGGTTAGCTTGACTGAAGTGGAATATGACTCACACTTAACAGTTAGCGAATGAAAACTCGATGTTCACATTCGTAAAGTATACCCAAAACTGTGATGTCTTCATCTTGGAATAAGTTTTTTAACTGAAGATCAACAATCTTTTTGTGACATGCTGTTGATTATTGTCAAATCAGATACACATTAAGACGACTTATAAATTATTGTACAATGAGCTCATTAATTAGCCACAATTTTAAAGTTATTAATCTGAACACAGAAAGCGATGAAATTTGTAAAATCGTGACAGTAAAACGTCTACACTTACTTCTTGATCATCCCAATCCATTTTTCGAATTAGCCGTAAAGTAGTATTAACGGTAGTTCGGTCCAATTTCGTTAGCAAAATATGACGTATAAACATCATTTGAGGTGTCAACTTCACAGGTTCGACAATCTAAACCATTTAGAAAGAGAAAGATAGACGAATTAATGATTATATATATGGACTACAAATCTACTGGACATCTGATTTACTTATATAATGAAATGAAGTAGTACAAATAACTGCGAGTACTAATTACACAAACTAAAAGGTATTTATAACTAAAAAATTTCACTTTCCACTTTGTTTTTGAATGTACATTTGACACTGCTATCGTTAAAACATTTTAGACACTATGCTATGCAAACTTAGTAAATGACGCTCCATTAGAATCCTCTAACAATTTATGTGATTACTGACCGCCTTAATAATGAATAAATAATTTAAATTAATACTATAACTCAGCATTTATTACCAAGTTTTGTGTATGCTTTTTGATTTATACACGATAAACTCAAAATATTTGCAGCGTAAATCATACCAACCGAACAATCAATATGAGCTATAAAAACAAAACATAAGTAAAAAATAGTACAATATGAAAGTTAATAATGTACTGTTAGTGTTGTATATCATATTTATGAATAATAAGATACCTGGCGACTGGACGGTGGAGGATTACAATAGTAATATGTATTTTCAATCATAATAGAATAACGCTGATCCATATGTAAAGCAACTTTTTTTCTAAGCATTATTTCTAAATAAACTTTTGTACGTTTATGTGATATAGGTAAACGATAAAGAAAACGCCCACAAGTATCCAATAAAGCACAGGCCATATCGATGTTATGGTGTACAAATTGAGGAAGAAGTTGTTTTAAACAAGTCAAAGCTTGATGAGCTGGATAAATCTTAAATTTGACAAGTTCCCCTAAAAATAAAAATAATCAGAGGAAAACACTCTCGAACTTATAAACAACTAAGTTGGAAGCATAAATAGGCATTAATAACTAAACAACGCCTATAAGCGAAATCATAGAAAATGTAGTCATAAACCTTGAAACACAAATCTACCGAAGAAATGGCCTAATTTAGTATGTACATACAATAACTGAAAGCGTCATAAATGCATAGTAGCTGCTAAGTTTAGTCTATAAGGTAATAGGGGTATCTAAACATGTACAGACATCATCAACAGAGTTTCACATATGCTTTTGGGGCAAGCTAATAAACTTGATTAGCATGACGAGATGAAGGTAACAAGAAATCGAAAAAATATAGTGTCAATGATATAAAGAAAGACTATGCCTTAAGAATATGATTTTAAAAGATAGAGCGCGTAGATATACATGAAGGCATACTGGAATTTAGGATCGAGAGGAAGATAAAAGGTGAATGCATTTGGGCTATTGTTAACAATTTTGAAGCATATTGCGCAAAGTCGCCAACCACAATTAAACCTAGGGGTATGAAACTAACCTGTAACATTTTAAAACTCATAGTTAGACCAATTACAAATCCAATGTCACTATAGTCAAATTAGTATAAAATCACCAAGTATACGTTACCAAGTTACGAAAATATTATGTAAACTCACCAATAAATCGAACCACTTTCAATTTGGATTCGATATTTAATTGATCTCGTTTAGACAGACGCCAACGGAATTCTGCAGTAAGCATAGAATTGATATCTTGTACCAAGTCAGGCATCACTGGGGCTAATGAAGCCAAAAGGCGCGCATAAAATGGTAATAAATCATAACGCGTTCTTGGAACACTAAATAAAGCTTTAGCAAGCCGTCGACGATTCACTCGTTTATTTAAATTCAAACAAAAGTCGATAGCTGCCTGAGATGGAAATTAAAAAGGTAGTGTTTACTTCATTAAAAAAAAAGAATCCATCATTTAATCAAGTAGCTGCGATATTCTTAACACATTTTTTTACAATGTAACTGGAAATTAAGTCATTTCCTTAGATTAACATCAAAGTAAAATGCAACTTTTTAAATGTGACGTATAATATTTAAAGCCATTACCTTGGTAGGAATTGTCAAGATCATACCGAAATACATATCTCCCTTATGTGATCTACCGTGTTCTGTATCCGCTAACATTAGCAATTCTGAGGAACTACTGAATTTAAAGTGAAGAGAACACATGTAAAGGCACAACATACATACATATTTTGATATAGTATGACTATAAGTGAATTAAATCCTGCAGTCCAAACATTTTCTTTTATATTTTGAATTTTTAAAAGTACAATTCCAATCCCTTGAAGAAAATGTGTAAACCCAGACAAATTTTGCCAATTGACTATTTTAGTAATATTACAAATTATCCGACCATTTTTATTTGGAAATTACCCTTACATGTATACGGATAAAGAGGTAACACCATAAAACGAATTATTCGATATTCACATGAACTTGTTTGTTTTACTGAAATTCGTAAAATATATTGTACGAAATTTCTTCCAGAAAAAGTAACACATGTAAATCCAATGACAACTGTTACCAAGTCACAAAAGCAAAGAGTATTTTTAATCTGCTGTGATTTATTAACACTTTTAATGAAAGGTCGCTGTTGTTGAACGTTTGCAGTTTCCGATGCTAGTCGAAAGTCAGGAATAAACACATTGTAAGATAATAATAAGAATAATAATCACTTCAATTAATACTGTTATAAAACTACAGTCTTTCGATTTATGGGTGAAAATAAACTTAATATCTGAGACTTTTAAACTAAGGGAAACATATTTTGTGGATTTTCAGTGAAAATTAGTGATACTAAAGACAAACTGATAACGTGATTTAGTGTTTGTCTACCAGAGAAATAAAGTATATGTTTTTTTCTGAATCCCTTATAAAACCAATCAAATATACCGAAACAAATTCTGATCCCGAAATTCAGAGAAGTTTAGTACAAGTTTTCAGACATAATATTTACTTACTCGATCGATGAGATCCCGATTAATGCAGTTTGGTAATTGGGTTAAAAACGTTTCCATGAGAACCTTCCCCGAAAGATTTAGATCTTCTTCACCTAACGACATGAAAAACATTGAAACAAACGTACGAATAATGACAGAATTTATCCCCGTAAAGTGAAAAACACTAATGTTACGAGCAATAACTACTGTTGGTTACCAAAGTTATCATTAATTTATAAAGCGGAACAGGGGAGTTTATTGTAAGAAGTTAGACTTGAATATCTGAGAATTGGGTAAACGTAATTCTGAGTTGTTAAATTATATCGCTATAAAACTTTAAAAAAAAAAACGAATTTTCGAGTTTCACAGTAGACACAACGATATGTCAATGTAATTATCAGGATCGTATGATCATAAAGTAGTTTACACGCGGCAGCATTAAACTAGTTCTGAACTCCAAAGCATGAAATACTAGGATTCAGTGAGTATGTAAAACAGAGAAACATTCCTAGAAGTACTGTATATCATAGTTTGAACAAGTTGAACTAAAAATCTCGAGATTATGTGTAAGAGACTTAGTACATCACATCAAATTTTATCACGAATCTTTACAACATAAAACAGCAAATAATCACTGCATACAAACATTGTGAAAAAACATACCATCATCGGTATTTAACAGATATGGTTTTGATTTATCAGATATAGATGTGCAATTAGCTGATTCATTACCATCTTCTGATACCCGAATTAATGCTTCTTCTTTAGCTAATTCTGATTCAACGGTGTCAATATCAATATCTACAATGAATGAAGAGACAATTGCAATATAACATCAAAATGTTCACAGCAAGACAATTATGACAAAATTCAGTTGGTCAAATGAACAGAGCTAATGACCACAAAAATGTTAAGGGTCAACAAGAATCTTTTTAAAATTTGACATACATAGACTATTGAATTGATAGTTGTAACTGGTAACAATACTTGTTAACAAATCCCGAAGAAACATCTGGATTCGCATAACCCCTTTTCATAGGTATTGTGTTTTAAGTCAATAAACTGGTCATAAATCATTAGGATCAACTACCTTACATTTTGTAATGCACAGTTTAGACTAGCATTCAAAAACTTCGTAAACTGATCTCATGTTAATTGCGAAAAACATTGAGGTATGTGGACATTAATATTTCAAACATGGGATATGAAGGATAGTGACTGGATATATATACATACAGCTTTGACTATTTTTATTGATTTATAATGACGACTTCCTAGATTCAATTGTTTTCAATGTTTACAACCCAACTCCAACACATGAGGATAATACTTCAAAGTAAGTAATCAAATACCTGTGTTCCCTACATTAGTAACATAAATAAAGTTATCTTTCATCTATTTATATTTATTTTTATTTCACAGCTTTCTTAGTATAACCACGAGTCAGAATAGGAGTTAACGACCAAAGAAATAGTAAAACAACGAGTATACCTGACCTTTGGTATGGATTCTAGTTAAGCGCAAAGAACATAAATACCACACCATTGATTTGTTCAGATGAGGACTTTAATGAAAATGCAGTGGGTAAAGTTTTAGTGCAGATGAGTTGTTTGAATGTGTACACGCCATACTCCAAACAAAAACCAAATTACATGTCGACCACGGCATTATAAGATAAAAACTAAATCAATACTACTTAAAAATAAGACAGATAGTAAGTAAATAATAGTTAACACTACATAGTATATATATATATATATATATATATATATATATCTTAATATGAAGTACGAGTAAACGAATCTATTGGGGGGTCATTTAGTGACCGGATCACTTGGCTTTTAATCGATGTTGTAATATAAATCCTGCCCTTACCAGCCATCATGCAAGTATGGCTCAAGAAGATGCATGTAAATCTGTATTTAGTGAATAATTTACAATATTATTAATAAACAAATCAAGACGATTTTTTCAAGTATTTGATTTCGAGGTCGTGTATAACAAATTGTCGCTCAGTATGATGATGAAACAAGAGTTGAATTTATGACATGTATACCTTCTATTTTGTGCTTGATTACCCAAGCCGAGAGTAAGATTGGAAACCATAGAAAGCACAAACCGGTATATTTTTTATGAATCAGGTATGTTCGTTGAATAGATAGTGCTGTAATTTTGCTAAATATGAATCATAAATACCCAACAAAAAAGGCAACTAAATGCATTCTATATAACATCAACATTGACAAATAAAATTTACTTAACCCAAAAATACATCCATAAAATATTATGAGGAACTTATGAAAATGTTGGATGAAAGTAAATCTTACCTTCACTTCCGGCAGGATCTCCATCCTCATTCTTTGACTGATTTGATTCTACACCAGCTTGTTCACTTTCTTTATAAAGGATCTATTAGGAAACAAAATACACATGATAGATATATACTGGTAGCGGTAATAAAGCAAAAACATGAAACAAACATACAATTACTTGTGGATAATTTTCATACAAAAAGTCCCACACTCACAGAAACTGGCTATTGTTATGTAACTAATGGAACAGAAATGTCTCACAGGTGGCTTAGCAAAACTTTCTAGAAAAAATACATCGCAAAAACAATCATGAAGACAATGATTTGGAAGTTAATTGCTTTGACAACACTAAAAGACCGTTTGCACACATTGAGACAAACAGTAAACTCATAATATTTTTCCGAGTTGAAACTATGAGGTACAATATTCAGTAGAGTAATAAAATGGTTTTTTGAAAACGTGTTAAGGCTAGCCAAGTATCACTTGTAAACGAATAAATCAAATACTCATTAGACCATATCCGAGTAACAGGATTAAAGGTTACCTAGATGTAGATAATTACAATACAAAATACAAAGCGGTAAAAACAGTACAGAAAGTTAACAACAGGTAACTAACCGCAGGTACCATTGCTTTGATATCAGGTAGACTTTCGTAAAATAAACGTGTATCTTCATCTTCAAACAGATTAACTTCTTCATGAACAACTTTCTGTAATTTTAAATTTGATGATTAATAGATTTATCACTTACTTCGACGGAATCAGGTGCGGTCAAGTCTGACATAGATTCATCTATAAACGACAAAGATGTTATTTAATTTGAGTTGTATAATATGTTAAGTAATAAAATATTAAACTAATATGGTCAATTTACCTATCGTCGATTGTCTGGATAAATGAGTAATACAACAAGTCAAATGAAGAAAACTAAATTTACCATACCATTATATGTTGTTAATAAGCACCTAAATACAAAATAAATCTCACAGCAACATTCTTCGAAAGCGTGGTCTACTTAGAGCCCCTTTATCGTAGGCTTATTTGATGTTTAAATCAAGCCTTTCTCGCTTGTATTTCAACTAACAATTACACCGTCTTATATCGCATGGGTTATCATATCCACTATTTTTGTTATTTTTAGTACTAAAGTTCAAAGGGAACCTACGATAGAGTTGAACTCGGACCAATGATAACCAGATTAATTCAAAATTGAGCATTCATATACAAGTCTTTGAACCGAACTTAACTACCAAGCCATTTAAGCCAATAAAGATGAATTGGAACCTGAACCTGTTAGTTGGTTCCATTAGATACTGCGCTACATTACAACTTCAGCGATCAATCAACCAAGTTACATGTCCGGATAACTATATCTCAATCCTATACAAACCCCTAAGTGTTGTTTATTTATGTGAAGCAAGTTGATAATACTTCATACTAATTAAACAACCATATCTTTCCTTTACAATTCACATATAGCTGAATTGAAAAGAAAAATCAACTGAAATGAATGAACTCAATAATAAAAGGCAAGAAATAATAGAATATTTCAGAAACAAAAAAATACAGAATGAATATATCAGTGCCACTGGTACCTGCGCTCAACCATATTACCTAATTTATAACCACTACATTTGGTTATCAAGTGAGATCACATTACGAAGACTGCAACTCCACTGTGTTACAGACTAACAATCACCTTTTTCATTAACCGGTATTATTTTTCAATCTGTTAACCTTTTGTTTCTTATTAGCCTGCTTCTACACTAGCCAGTATAACCAACTGGGAATGGACGATGAAAGGAAAGGAGTGACTCGTACGCGAACGACATCAGTGGATGAAGTTTCATAACCTTATTAACTAATTTACAGTGTCTATCCGACACTCATCTTTTAATACCAGCATTGCTTACTTATTAGTTGCACAACACCCAAGGAATATTTTGAAGGTATTTTTTGGTTGATATACGCAAATCATTTGTATTCGGTATCCGGTGTTATGAGATGTCTCATATATACACAATGAAATCAAACTTGCCTTTTATCATAGATGAAAAATCAAGTGGTGGATCTGCGTCCAAAAGATCAGCTAAAGTACTTAAGGACTCGTGAAATTTACGACAGGCTGACATTAAATGCTCCGCCCGCTCTTGTCTCTCTTCGCTAACTTCACCACGGCTTTCGAGTTGGTCCCTGTTTCCTGAGATGATTCGTTGGGTTTCTTTGACCATATTTTGTAAACGATGCATCGCTCCAGCTAGATAGTCATTGAATAGTGTACGACACTTTGCTTGACGTTCAGATGACATGAAAATGGAACGTGGAACCGGCATTTCATACTTTTCAGATAACAGTCTGCATGAGATTAAAACAGATTAAATAATTAATTCATCCACAAATAACAGAACACAATATTAAATGTTATGGGCTGATTAGGAAAAACATCGTGAAGACTTCTGGCTTGAGAGTCTTTCGGTTTAACATACTAAGATCCCATTTACATAGTACTGACTCTCCAAAGTTGTATTAAAAGACTTCTTGAATGCGTTCATAAAAGAAAAAAGTTGAACAGCAAAAGAATATCGGAACTTACGTTAGTCATTAAAATGTATTTCTGTTTGAATACCTGACCGTAGCTGCTACCTTGACGCGGTGGTTGGGCTTGCCCATCGTGACAACCCAACCGAGCTATATTGGCTGGAATATATGTTCCTGTAGGTTCTACCATGCCAGGAAGGTCGATTGGAGAACGGTAAAACTAAAAGCAGCAACTTAAGGTCTGAGGGCGAAGTCGTACTGCTGACTGTAGAGGGGTGTGACAGCAGTAAAGTGTTTCCTTCGGACAGCCAGAATCTGCAGCGATGCTGCCTTCTCACAAGGAAGGAAGGGGTTAGAAAACGTCAACCCTAAGAATGTCACACCTTACCTTACCCCATGGATTTCCGTCTCCGAGGGTAAGGCCCTTTGAAGAACGGGGCTAACACGTCAAAACCTTCCCACAAAAAGGCCGTGTGCGACTGGCCTCAAGCAGTTGTCCCTCGGGCTAAGGGAAATACTCCTGGGTGGATCTTATAGTGTCACGGCTCAAAGAACAGATAATGGCGACCGTCTGTTGCAGCTATGCTCAGATAACCGCCTCTTTCTTGCAAATACTAACTTTAAGCATAAGGAAAAACATCTTTTAACATGGTGACCACTGAATTCGTCCCAACGTTGGACCCGAATAGATCACATCGCTATCAGCCACCGATGGAGGGGCTCGATGGAAGACTGTCGCTCATTCTGGAGCACATGCTTAGATTCACATCATGCTCTAGTTGGAGCGTGTATCTGCCTGTGTCTTACTGGACGTAGGAAAGACGCTGCAAGGAAACCTCTTAGGACCCTACTTAATGATAGTCAAGCTAAGAGTATATTTCAGGAACAACTAGGAAAACAGTTAGGGAGCCATGTATGTGATGCCCACCCCGAGGCAGCATGGAATGATATCCGAAAAGCTGTGGAAACAGCAGTGATATCTGCTAGTACGGTAAACCGTAAGGTTAGGGAGCAACACGGGATCTCAACAGCATCTACCGCACTGATAGATGCTCGAAAACTCATTCCATCTGGATCTGAACATAACGAAGAGCGGAGTTAGTTTAAGCCCAAGCTGACAAGAAGACTACGAAATGATCGTGAACAATGGTGGGTAGCGAAAGCAAGAGAGATGGAAAAGGTAGCAGCAATAAGTAACAGCAGACCATTGTTCAGACTTGTTGAGGAAACCGGTATTAAGAAACCAACTGTTAGCGAAACAATCTCAGAGAAAGATGGACATATACATTCTCAATCCAGGAGATTGGATCGATGGGCAGAACACTTTAGGGATCAGTTCAACTGGCCTTCAGTCACACTTCGGTTTCCCACGATCTCTAGTCAACCTGGATGGCAAGTTAGTGTACGTCCTCCGACTCTTCACGAAGTTGAAAAAGCGATAGGAAATCTGAAGCGTGGGAGAGCAGCAGACCCTGACAGGGTTACTCCTGAGATTTTTAGAGATAGTGGTTCAGTATTAGCAACGAGATTAACTGAGGTCTTAGGTAGAATCTGGGATCTGAACTTAAGCACATTTGACTGGTCTCAATCACTGAGTAAGCCAGTCTATAAGAAAGGACAAAAGTCCTCATGTGACAATCACAGAGGAATCAGTTTCACTAATATAATGTCTGAAATACTAGCCTCAATAGTACTTCAACGCCTAACTAAAGCTCGCGAAGAGCAGACTAGAAAAAACCAGACTGGTTTTCGACCTGGACGAAGTTGTATAGACCAGATATTCACACTACGTCAGGTTGCATCGACACCCGAACTAATGATAGGGAGTGAAGTAATTGAGCGTGTCGACCGCTTCACTTATCTTGGAAGTCTCATAAGCCCTTGTGGTCTGGTGTGTGACGAAATCGCAGCACGGATACAGGAGGCTCGATTAGCTTTTGCCAACTTGCGTCATTTATGGTGTAGGCGAGATATCAGTCTACCAACCAAAGGACGTGTCTACTGCGCAGCAGTTCGTTCCGTCCTACTTTATGGCAGTGAAACATGGCCGGTAAGATTAGAGGATATTCGTAGGTTACTAGTATTCGATCATAGGTGTCTTCGAAACATTGCTCGTATATTTTGGGAGTTTTGTTATCTGAGCTGGACGGTTTGGTTGTGGAGCTTTCATCATTCTTCTGAACGACATCATCAGCACAAACTTCAGATAGGAGTGAAGTGTTCGAATTTTTCCATATGTGTTTAACAGCTTGTTCTGTGCACCTTGATGTTGATTGGTTCTTATTGACCTTAAATTTGTCATTGTTTACTTCTTTGTTTTGGTTGTCTCCCATTGGTTTGATTTTTTTCCCTATATTTGTGTATGATTTTCCTGACTGGTTGGTAAATTGGATTGATTTCAATATGCTTGTTGATTGCTGATTGACCTGAGTGCCAGGCTTCTAAAAATTCTCTGGTGTTTTTGGAGTTTCCTCTGTCTAAGATCTCCACATTTCCCCAATCGAATGAGTGTCCGCAGTTGTCCACGTGTAATGATATAAGTGAGGAGATATCATGGTGTTTGACTGCTAATTGATGTTCGTGTATGGCAACTCGAACTGATGTACGTACGTACGAAGTTCTACGTTATTGTGCCAATGAGGTATGGCAACTTGGATCAATGCATATATGTGCCTGGTCCTACGTTGTAGCTGACTGACTTGAATACAAGTAGTATGATTTAAAAAGTTGTATATATTCAGCCATATTTTGGAGCATGTATATGATAAAAACAATGAAGTTTCATTTCACATGGACAATTATGCCATCCATACATTATCTGAAGATTGACGGCAACACCTGAGGGTGGGTAAGAAATATATCCTAACACAAACGAATTCCCGTTGCTCACAGTTGTTTATCCTAACTGGTAATATGCTGTGTAGTAGCTGATTATAGCTTGAGTAGTTGAAATACTCTCATTTTAATCCCTATTCAGAATTTATATATATATATATATATATATATATATATATATATATATATATATATATCCCTGCACAAAATTAAGAATCATCTAGCACTGTTATTATTTATTTGAACACGTAAATATTGATACAAAGGGGCACCGAATAAATATGTGCTACACAAGTCACTTGATTTTTGTGTGGGCTGGGATACTACTAGAATGCCCAAGTCGAAGCAGGGGTTTTTCTTAGGGAGCACACCCGGAGCCTTCGACCTAAAGGTCTGATCTAAAAGGCAGTGGATCCACGTCAGGAGACACAATCACATGGTGGGCGGTGATCAACGATTGGTTCATACGCCATTTGCTCCTTTAGGATCCTAGAGCCCATGTGCAGCATTGGTTGGAATCAGGGTTTTCCAACCTCCTTAGGTGGACCCACCATATCTACCAACCTGGTGAATGCGTCGGACATTTAACTAACATACTATCCGATATTATGGTCGACGGATAGTATGAGATAACATAACTGGGTATAACAAGACCTGATCATATTGCATGAATCCCACACTACACTTACCATGCTAAAAGAGTTAGAAAATGGATGTACTTAACCTAGTTCTAAAGTACCAGTAACATGATTTGATGGTCTGATAAGTGCCTTGAAACAGAAATATATCTGTAAAATCCGTAATTTTTATAGCATTAGCTGACAATGTTTGTTCCTTCAACTATCGATACGCTCGTTAGCTTTCAGTCTATATATTTTTTTCAAATGGCTTTCAAAAGATGGTGAAGCGTCAAAAGACAACTTTTCAGTTTAGTGTAATTTTACAGATATATTAGTACTCTTATGAGCATTCAAGTTACTCTTAGTATTCCGTGAACTTAATTGTGCGCCATTACGATAGGAAAACTGAAAATGAATCATATTAACATGCATGACTGTAATTAAAAGCCGTGAAAATATAGCTTTTTAAATTTCACATAAAGCTGAATTAATAAAATGCTTAAACGTTCAATCGATTTACCGTATACGACGCGGGATGACTCCTATCCAGTCGTCACTGCAATGTCTACAGAAGCTACTAAGTATCCCGATATTGGAGAAGTTATCATGATCATTTGCAGTTAGAAGAGTCAATTGCCCAGCCAACAGTCGGATACCATCAGCGTCTCGAAATATTCCGATTGTATTAAGATCAGCGAATAAGGCCAAATCAACTCGTAGTTTGGAAAGATTAGTGTTCTAGGAGATCTCTTCAAAAAAATTATTTTAATTACCTTTAGATCTTTGTGGGAAGAGAATGATTTCTTCCACGCATCAAAAAACAACACTCCAAAATCTGAATACCGTTGGTACATCGCTGAACATAATTTCAGCATAAAAGGAATATCAGTTAATTTTATTTTCGCTTCAACGATCGCGGTTGCGACTTCTTCGACATATTTAGAAAGATTCAGGGACTCGAACTCTGATAAAAGTGCATCTTTCTGGCTATCGAGAAAGTTTCGCTGCCAATTTTTTAAAAATTCGTAAAATATTCAATCTTACCACTTTCTTGACAAAAGCAGTATTCTTTTTCAAAGTTGAATCCTTTTTTACGAAGAAGGCATCATCTGGCCATTTGCCTGCAACTGCTAAATTTTGCTCCAACAGTGTTGTTCTCAAAGACAAACGTTCAGAAGCTTCAACAATGAACTCGGTTACTTGCTTTCGCTGAAAAAGTTACTAACTAGCTTAAAAAAACATACATCTATTTCGGACATAATCTGATCTTGTTCATTCATTTTTAGTTCATTTAGAAGTTCACATTACACTTCTGTAAAAAAGAGAAAAGTTTTCCACCAATTAGGAGTGGTTAAACAAAGCCATTGAGGATTGGATTGAGCCTCGTTAACATGTACATACTATCTGGGTTATGCGTGATTATCGTAACCAGTGATTAGACTTTGAATGACATTGCTCAAAATCACTTGCAATGGTCCAGGCGTATTTACTGTTTGTATTCCCCTAGATTATAAGCTTATAGATTCCTCATACACTTTTTACTTCAATAATTTATAATTCTTCAATCGTATTTTTGATGGCTCGTTTTATTACCAATAATACTGTTACCAATTCTACTACTCAGGTTTGTCCTAACAATGTCACGTTGCTGTGTTAGTGGAATGGGGTAACTTGAACTGATGTACACAAGCACCAAGTCCTACGTTACGTTTGACTGATTAATTACTCATCCTGTATTAGAAACGGTAAAATCTACGGTATCTAGTTCTTCTTGCATGACGGAAAAGCATACAGTGACAGTGACTCTATCAGATAACAATTTTTGAAAAAGTTTTCTACATTGTTTGACATCTTAATTTACCTTCTTTATTGTTAATTTATCTTCTCTATGATGACGTGAAATGTAGAAACTTTAAATAATACAGATTTATGAAAGGTCTTACCCTATTTTGATATCAACTAGGATATTATTGGCAACAAGCATATTATACCATAAGGAATATTTAACAACAAAATAACCATAAGTAGTACAATTCAAGAATACCGACTAGCAAGCTCTATAAAATGATGTGATTATTGCCTAATACTCTAGGGATAGTTATTTGGTTTTTCCAGATTTGGTACGATGTTTCCACAGAATAATAGTCTAAAATACGCTATTACGGATTAACGATCAACTGATTTTGAGTCCTATTTCTAAAGAATAGATTGACCTCCGATACTCTTATAATTACACTGTTATGCACTAACCATTTGTTACATTTTATTGACAAGCAAAAATAACTTCTTAAGTCGGTAATTTAATAAAAAACTGGTTATGGCAAATATAAACGGATATAATGGATAATTACTTTCAGACTATTGATTAAACTGCTGAAGCCAAGCCACCATTTGTTTTTAATGGGCTCTTACTCTTAAAGTAACACTCTCCTATCATTATGATAGTTCAATCATTCATTGTCCGCGACGGTGAACATAATTTTTTTTAATGAAAGAGGTGGTTAACACTTAAAGATGTCAATTTCATTAACCATGAAAAATGGGCAAAAAATCCCAGTCAAAAACTTAAAGTGGAGTATGGAAGACCCTGTAACAGGTTGGATAGACAAACATAAACAAGTTGAGAATGAAAAGATGAATAACAAACCAAAAAGCATTAATGTAGTAGCAGTAATAAAAAGAAAGACAAAACCTCGAGCACGTACGAAGGTAAATTGGAGTTCAAGACCGAGATATATAGATGATGAACCACCCGGCCGTTGTTGCTACCATGACGTGGTGGTCGGGCTTGCCTATCGTGATGAACCAGTCGAGCTATACTGGCTGGAACGATCATTCCTTAAGGTTCTACCATGCCAGACAGGTCACTTGAAGAGCGGTAAGACGAAAAGCAATAAACCCAAGGTCTGGGGGTGAAGTTTTAATGCTGACTGTACAAAGGTGTGACAGCAGTAAGATGTTTCCTTCAGACAACCAGCATGACAGCGATGCTGCCTTCCCATAAGGAGGGGTGTGGTTAGAAAAGGTCGACCCTAAAAATGCACACCTCACAATAACTCACGGATATCTGTCTCCGGTGGTAAGGCCTCAACAAGTACGGTGGTCATTCACTTGACCTCACCTCGGCAAAACGGAGAGCCAACGAGATACACCCTCCGTGTATCTGGTGACCCGATGGCCAGTTCTCGTGGACTGGCAGGTGTAGGCATAGCGCTAAGCATGAAGGCCGAACAAGCACTGTTAGAGTGGATCCCCATCAACAGTCGTCTATGTGCTGTCCGGCTAAACGGCTCCGTAAGAACTCGGAAGGATAGGGACACACGTCGTTGCCTTTTTGTCGTTTCTGCCTACGCTCTCACCGACTGCGGCTCAGATGAAGTGAAGGATGAATTTTACAGAAAGCTATCTGAACTTCTTCAGAAAGCTAAACGTTCAGACATAGTACTCGTAGCAGGTGACTTTAATGCCCAGATAGACCTACTGATGGAAATAACATTCTCGTCGACTGAATTCTGAAGTATTGATCTCCTTCCAGGAGGTCCACTTATCGACTTAGAATACGCAGATGATATAGTCCTGTTTGGTGAAGACGCTGATAAAATGCAGTCTTTCGGTAGCACTAAGCTACAATGCCAGAATGTTTGGAATGCGCTTCTCTCCCTCTAAATGCAAGTTGTTGTTTCAGGACTGGTCTGCGTCAACACCTGAACTAAGGATGGGGAGTGAAGTAGTCGGACGCGTCGACAAAACTTATCTTGGAAGTCTGATCAGCCCTAATGGGTTGGTGTCTGTTTTACTTTACGGGTGCGAAACGTGACCATTAAGAATAGGAGATATTCGTAAGCTACTAGTATTTGACCACAGATGCCTTAGAAATATTGCTCGCATCTGCTGGGACCACCGGGTAAGTAATAGCGAGGTTAGACGTAGGGTATTGGGGAATGTTGGTAAATCAGTTGATGAGATTGTGAATCTTCACCGACGGAGGTGGTTGGGACACGTGTTACGTGTGCCTGAACACCGATTACCACGACGCGAAATGCTGACTAGTGTTGGGGATGGTTGGAAGAAAGTTAGAGGCGACCAAACCAAAGCGTGGCATCAGTGCTTGAAGTCCCTAACTTCTGGTCTGAGCCATGTTGGTAGATGCAGACCGCGTGACTATCGTAACCAATGGTTGAAGACTCTGGGTGACATGACTCAGAATCGATCACAATGGCGTAGGTGTATACACTCTCAGTCTTCCTTTAAACTATGAGATTAAAATCGCTTTATATCTTTCTTTCTGCGAACTAATTCTTTCTTCCTGTACTATATCCTTATATGCAATCTTTCTTTTATATATTATCACCATTGACTTTACTATGAATTCGGTGTTCTTGTCGTGCTAATGAGGTATGGCAACTTGGACCGATGCAAATATGTGCGTGGTCCTACGTTGTAGCTGACTGATTGAAATGATGAACCGACTCGCTCCATTGAGAGCAATTCTCGGCCATTTAACGTGTAGCGTCCGACTACTAGTCACGGTTGCCACGTCAACCCAAACTAGACCGTCTGCACCTATAAACAAGCCTCACGACAGTGACTTGACCGACTGTAGCCATGTTTTCGTTTGACCGCCATTAACTTTCTTAAACCATACACTAGTGAACATCTTCCATCAACGTAGGCACACGCAACATATGTCGGTAAAGATTAACATTAACACAAATGCCTGGTACTCTGTGCTTAACCTGTTTCAAGTTATGAAAACGCTTTGTGAAAAATCCCAAATAGTGAAAACATAACTGCCTGACCACAAAGAATTATATGCTCACTGGTCTTTAATTTTTTCGCAACTAATGACATTCGAGAGTTGATTATGTGAGATGTAAATAAATTACGTGGAAACGCAGAAGGATTGAACTAAATGAGAAACGGTCTCAACGCTAACATTAACATTGGCACTGTTAGATTGTGTATATAGCTTTCAACTACTTTATTTAACTTAAAAACTACAACACATAATAGTTTGTGATCCCCATCATGATTCAGAATTCAAGGCACCAGTGATCACGTTTATTTTGCAAATAAGCCGAAGATTTTAAGATAAGGAACTACAATACCTTAATACCTAACCACTGCTTACTCTGATATGTATTGCTAGTTAATGTAGGCGGATGTAAGGAATAGAACAAGTGATGGACAGACCAGGACATGGTCAATACGACTATTGACTGTTAGCTCCAACTTTGGTGGGAACTGGTCGCGATTGACATGATATTTGCGGTTAGCGACTGAAGATGCTTAGAATTGTTCACTTTCTTTTCTTGAATCATTTCCGATAGTTCACTCTTTATTCTCCAATCTTAATCTTTCACAAACCATTTTTTTAATGTGTTACTTTTACTACAGGACTATGGGACTCCTAGAATCGAAGGAATAAATCATCTCGTTATTTGTAGCCATGCACTTAAACCCCGATAAAACTAGTGGTGTCAGGGATGAATGACAAGCTTGTTCGAGAGATTAGGAAAAAAGGGTTGGGAATACACTATATTATTGAACTGTTGGTAATAATATCAATACTATTATTACCGTTATCCTTTTAAAATGTAGGGTGTGAGGGTTGATGAGATTGGTTAATAACTGAAAAGAATGCTTAGGTCAGGATTATACAGTCTACAAGGTAGGAACAGAAGAAAGCCAAGATGACTGTATCCTTGTAACACCATCAAAACCACTTACCATTAACGTCCAAAACGGCGCCAGACACATTTACGAACCAAGAGTCCCGCCGGCGCGTTTTCTTCCAGTCCTGTAAAACGTTGATTAAAACCAACTGCTGTTCGGCTGCTGCAGATGTATTAAAATAAACCAATGTCCTAATTTTCTATATTTTAGCTCACAAACGAACCTACCGCACATAATCAAGTAGAAATTAGGTAGAAATACATGGTTGTATTCTTTAGGTGACATAACAAATACTCGCTTGGGGTCTCTACAGAACTCTAGGTAGCTCGTCCCACGTATTATTCTAAAGCGTCTTCACCACTCATTTTTTGGCCTAGCTGGAACGGGACTTTTTTCTCAACTTCCCACCTTAGGAGTGCATTCTGATACAATGATGAGTTCAAGAAAAAGCAATTAGAATATGGAAAAAACTTAAACAGAACTTTGAGCTCAAGGCCTCTTCACCACATAAGCACAAGGAGCACTAGATCATAACGAATCATACTGCTGGTCATCTCTCTCTTGAAAGATTACTAATGCACTCTAAAATTAATTCAGATCTAGGCAGGAATAATTTAAGGTCGGAACGTGAAAAAGCATGGACAAAATATATGCAAACTGCTTTTTAATGAGGGCTTGGGCTTTGATGAAGTAAAATCATGGTGATTCTGTTGATGGTTTGTAAGAGAACTTGACATTCACTTCCGTTCTAAACGTACTGAGACAGCCACCTCTTGGTCACTTCTTTTATTATTGAGTAATACTGTGTTCTTTAAGATTCTTGAAAATATTTAAACATTAGTTGTACTCTTGTAACTAAGGTCCACCTTCGTAATACACATGCAGATTACAAGAACCTGATAACTAGTAATATATTCTCAAAACGTTTTGAAATTTAGAGGCCACAAGTCGAATGGTGACATGACAGTTAAGAAACTTCCTCATCTACCCTTTGTATAAAAGTAACGTTTTACTAATGTTTAAGAAAATGTTTCAATACGTGAAGTGAAAGCACAAGCCAAAATAAAGGTGATTAATCATTCAACTCTATGATGACCTTAACAAAATAGTCACATTTTTCCCAGTTAAGTAATTTACTTTTTTCTTCATGCAGATGTATCAAAATCTGACTTTTATCTTCTCACTCCTGCCGTCATTTGTTAGAAAAAAGGGTTAATTAGCAAGAGATTAAAGTCGTTTTTTGCTTTCTGTTGTAAGTCGTACAATAGGCGATAAAAACACAGTTACCTCTTCTTACTGAAATAAGTTATTTTTGTAGTGAAGGAGAACACAGCTAAAGATACCGGTTATATTTAGCACAAAATTACAGTTACTTGACAAAATTAAAAAAACTATACTCCAATATTTCATTTGCAAAATGTTCATTAATTATTTCAGTCTTCATTGTTCCTACATTTCCATATCAATCGCTTTCTGTTCCCATCCTTTTCTCCTCGATCTTCCCAACCTTCTGCTGCCAGACATTCTATTCCTAACTAGCGCTATATATTGTTTATGTCGACATAAGTAGCACTCGTCCTCCGTTTTAGTAAGCTGTTCTCACAGTTTTTTTGATTACCGTATCTCTGTCTTCTTTGGTGTTGTTCGTAACTCGCACTGATGGTATTCTTGAAACCATCTCTACAGTTGACCAACATTTACGCGCTTCTGTTTGTCTTCTCTCTGGGTAATGTAAACCGAGCCACGTTTCTCCGTGGCAATGCACAGTCCTTCCCACTTTGGGATCAGCTTTTCTGACCCTGAGCTCACTGCTATGTCACCTTCCTGTTATCTACATTTACCAGGTCCCCCTCTCCAAAAGGTTTTCCCGTCCCCTATTGCCTCCTTCTTCCCTTTTCTTAACCTTGTCGCCGTTCACCTCTGTTATTGTGGCCAGATCTTACTATGCAGTGGAAGTTGTGATTGTCTACCATACACAAGCAAGAATAGTGGCGTCTTGGTTATTTCTTGTATGGAGGCACGATGTACCAGCAACACCAATGGTAACTCCTTCTCCCAATTTTCTACTTTAGAGGCTAGCCATTCCTTTAATGTCCTGTTGTTTCAGGCATACGTGCATCCATTTTCAGCTCTCAATATTTCTCGAGTTCGGAGTGAAACCAATGGAATCACGCCTGCCCCGTCGCTCTTTATTTCCAGGAGGAAAAAAAGGCTTTTAAATGATAATATGGGCGTTCTAGTTTACTTATGGTTAGAAAGCAATGAGGTGGTTGCTATAAATTGCGTTGTTCAGTGGACTCGGGATTTGCCGGTCCAGATCTAAATATATGTTTACAGACTGCCATATTAGTTGACGAGAAGGCAAAGTTCTGAAGCCCATTATTCGGTGAGAGCGCAAGCAAACACTTCAGCAGTAATTTATCTTACGAGTAATGCCTCTTCCCAGCATGTAATAGTGTACACGAGAGTTCCGAGATATGAAAATTCATTTAATTCTGAAAAAATATCTGCAAGGTTGATATATACATGGTCAAAATTAGCAACGGATTAACAAACAAACTTGAGAGACATCTGTTATATTTCGTTAACTTGCAGTTTTACAGTAGCATCAGGGAAGTTCTTTCGGCTTATGGCTCTTATACATTTCATATTTTAAAAATTGCCAAATATTCGAGTTGACAGCTGCTTAGACACCAGAGTGGGACCATTTATTTATTCACTCAGGGATATTGCTTATGCTCATTCGGCCTGTACTCACCAGCGTGTGTTACACAGCAGACTGTTCTCGTGTGTTCTATCACAGGTGACGATCAGGTAGGAATGATAATCAGGTAGCATACTTTCGCCTTTATATCGCTCCCAACTATGATTTAAATACTTCAGCAACCTAAGGTACTTTAAGAAACACCCTAAACGTCGTATCTTAAACAAATCTGTTACACCTTGGAGACTTCATGCCAAATTTGATTAAAGTAGGCGCTAGCATGCTTGATATCGGTTTTAACATTGCCTCTCCGAGCAATTCCACAAACTTATTAACCGCAATCGGTGTGATCTTAGAACTTTCATGAGAGCGAGTCACTTATTTATTAAATTTTATGAAAAGAGATGGCCATAGTAGTCTGAAATTTGCACTCAACCGTATACATGACTTGTTTCCATAAATTCTAAAAAAAGTTATTATAACTGTGGTAGGACCTTCAAAAACAAAGGCATCGATTCTATTCAAATTTATGGGTATAATATTTTAATGCTAGTAGTTACTCTTTTTTGTACATTGGAAAATCCAGACAAATAGTTAGAGTAAGTTTCTATTCGGAGCATGAAGCAAAACAATTGGGGCGCTAGTTTCGAACACAAGGCTTTCAACATTCAATACGGGATATTACGGAACACAATGCCTGCGCAAAATAAAGAAGTAGATAAATACTTCAGCTTAAATGATTTGACATTACCAAGGCGTTTACGACCAACTCTTAACCAGCTAACCTATGTTGTTACATAAGCCTACTCCTGTACGTAACTTTCATAAGAATGTAGGTTCAATCAATTTCTTAAACAAAAACACGTCCATTCGGTTTCCACTGCTTGATGGATAATCAATAACTCGTCCACTGTTTAACTTTCTTGCTTTTTTAGTCATTAACGACCATAGCTCAATCATTATTCGGGGAAAATCTACAGATCTCACATGCTTTATTAGCTTGTATTTTTGCCTCGGTAGCATTTATCTCCTTTCCACAAATTATCTCACATGAGTAGTTGCATGTGTTTTCTACATGGGAACCAGAGCTGTCAAGAAGTTGTGTGTCAAGATAATGAAAAAAGGATATCGGAGCCGCCAGCGGGTTACCCAACACTATTTGGGTGTGGCACGAAGTTCTTATGCTCTGTCAGACTATTAGGTTTTTACTAACCTGGCTCGTTAGTCATCACACTGTAAAAAGAGGAAGGAGCCTAAACTAAGAGTATAAGAAGCCTTGAGCCTGTGAAAACCGCTCTTTACTACCTAGTTCATAACATTAGATATATAAAATATCTGAACATAGAATATTAAAATTAGGAAGAATTCAGTGTCGTGTCCCATGATCGAATCGACTTCCAATGGTCATCGATATGATCGGAGCATTATATTACTAACCATGTGATTAGCGTGGTGTTAATATTCATGTTATAGTAAGGAGGCTTTATTCACTAAAGTCAAGAGGCCAGTTCGTTTTACACATATTGGTCATAACGATCGCTAATAATCGACTAACGTAAGAAAATATTACAATTACGCCATCTATGCATGGATATGGTCTGTTAATTTGGTATGTAACCCAGCACTCATGACAACGATGGTTTGAGTGTGTACTAAGGTGCTGCTTTTGTACATGATAACCGCCTTCTTATGGGATGTTAACCAGACATGTGGAAAAAGTGTGAATAGACGTTTAGTCGGAACAAGTGATTAATTCCCAAACCTGGATAGCTTCTGTGGTTGATATACGCCATTAACCATTTTTGGGGTTAACCAAACATAAACGTTACTATGGTCGTAATAACTGCCTCCAAATATCGAAAGTTCGTAATGAAAATGAAGTGGTTATAATTCTTAACATCAAAGAACAATATTAATAATATCGAAAAGAGAAAATCTAGCTAATTGAATTAGTGGCTTTTAACTTATTGTATGACTAACAAAGTGAAAAATGTATCAGTCATTTCTCGGTTTACCATCCCGCAAAGTTTAAATTTCCTCTCAACACACGTAAAGAAGAGATCTACCCGCGGGCTATTCAGGACAAAAATGGATGTAGTTGTGACAATTAAAGAAGGGGGGTTGTGTAGATTGTAGTAATTTAACAGTTGAATTCATGAGTCAATTAAACTAGACCATCATGGAAAACCTGGAATCACTAAAGTTCGAGTTCCACGTGTAGGATCTTGGGTAAGCAATGCCAAGGAGTTTCATACCAAGTCGAAACGGCCGTCCAGTGCTCTCATGTTTTTCATAATGGCCTAACTTTAATTGACTCATGGATTCAGCTATTAAATTAAGAAAGGGTTAGTACACTAAAGTGTCTCGGCAACGCACACTGAAGCGCATAACACAAATC